TACAGGAGATTACACTCCGTCACTAATATTCTAATATACAATAGCAATTTTTTGTTTTGTTTTTTTCCACGTGTAGTATAGAAATTTGTAATAAGATACATAATGCGGTTATAATAAAATATTGTGCGATTATTTTCATATAATTAAAATTAATATTTATTTATTTTTTAGAGAATACGAGGGAAGCGGCGCTTCCAACGCTTCTAATGACAGCACGCCACTGCCCTTTATCATTTCTTAGAATCTTGCACAGATTCGGAGCTCGTTTTAAGATCAACGTTGATCCTTTACTGTCCGCAATCTCCTTCATGACGGTTCTTACATTTTTGTTGAATGTACACTTTGTGTATTTACTAGACCCTTGTTTAGAGGCCCTTGTATCGCCTATCTCAAATTTTCTGATAATGCCAGCGATTATGTTTCTCCTGTAACCCAAGGTTTCCACTATCTGCATAATCCTTTTCATTTCTTTATTTCTGTCCATAATGTTATCGCAATATAGAAAAACCCTTCTGACTAAGGCAAGAAAGCTGCTAATTTATAACGAAATGGATCATTGGACTGCGCAGGAATGTAGAGTGGGCTATGTGTTGGTTTGGTATACACATTAGTAGATGTGTATACATTAGTAATGTATACACATTAGTAGATAAATGCCCTTTTATTATAAAGAATTATGTATATGTAGGCTACATAGTCGAGTAAAACAAATTTTTAAAAACATTTCAATACTAAAATTAGCATATTTTTTACTTTAGTCAAATTTTTACTTAATTAATTAATTTTTACTTAATTTTTACTTATTTTAGTGTATTATCTCTTAGGAGCTCCCTTTCTCATTTAGTGTCCGGGGATCATATACTCTCTCTGTTCCTTCCTGGTTACTTATCTTTCTTTGGTACAAAAAGAATTTTACAATAACCATTTATATTTTTTCTGCATGTCAATTATATTTTTCGTTATATAAAAATTTTTGTATCAGTTACCGTATCTGTTGAAATCAATAGGAATTCAGCCTGTATGATAATTTACTATTGCGCAAAAATTATAAAATAACTCTGCTCGATTGTAATACAAAAGTTTGATAACATGATATTGAACATGTTTACTCAATTATTCTTAATACATATTTACGCGTATTAATATTTGAATTTTTCATTGAATAAAATTATTTCAGCGTGTTTTAATAGTCAGTCATTAAATCTTATCATCATTAATGTTTTTTTTTTTTAAGTAAGTTTAGAGCAGGGGTGTCCAACCCGCGGCCCAAGGCAAGTTCCAATGCGGCCCAATAAACGTGTAAACAAAACCGACAAATTATTTTATTTTTATTTATTTATTTATTTCAACGGCATAAACTCAAAAAAGAAATTTCACAAAGCTGTAAACTTTTATACATATTTTATTTTTGAGTGAAAAGGAAACATTTTCAAATACTTAGAGATGTGTGAATGACGAAGGAACAATGGCGTACCATGGGTGTCAGCCGCCCGGAGCGGAGGAAATTTTTGGCTTCCTCCCTTATTAAGGTATTTTAATTTAAAAGACCAAAATTCAGTTTTGTCACAGAACAAGCAATGAAAAATTCGGTGGTAGTGCAGTGACCTGTTTAAAATAGTTCTATTGGATATTAGTGGAGTATATGAATCGTAAAAGAAAATAAAAAACAAGGGCAACAGGTACCGCAGGAATTTCTTGCTTAAAAAAATTGGTGTTTCCTCGACTTTCATTAATTACAGACCCAAATAAAACAAAAATTTGTATTTTCAAATAAACTTTTGTTTGTTTCCTTTATAATAAATGAAGTTATTTATTTCTAAGTAAAAATTGAAAGAGTCTGTAGAAGTAAATTTTTAAAATATCCTTGTTCGTGATAAAATTTTAATACTTATTACTATAATCTAGACATGTTAATCCTTAAATATACAAGTATATTTAAGGATTGGGTCACAAATATATTATATATATTTGTGGCCCAAAACTCCATGACTTCTTCTAATATGGCCTAGAAGAACAAAAAGGTTGGACACCCCTGGTTTAGAAGATATATTAAACATAATCTAATTGTCATTATTTATTTTTGACTATATAAATCACATTTTAAATATATAAAAACATATTATGTATCAATTGATTCATTTAAAACATCGATTATGATCGTGAAGATTACTTGAAACAATAACAAAAAAATATCTTAATCGATCAATCTATTTCATTGAGGAGGAAAAAAGACATCTAAAAGATAAATATATAACTAGTTTTTTTAGTTTAGTAAATGTAACTGAAATATTTAGCACTAATTAAATAGTAACAGTGATTTATTAATTATTATAAAAAGCATTTATGACTTTTTCATTTCATTTATATTATGACTGTATATGCATTCACTGAAAAACAAGTAAAATAAATAAATAAGTAAATTTCTATTTTATTGTCTATTTATTTAAGTAGCTATATGGAAAAAGTAAGTGAGAAAAATAATCATATCTTATAAAACATAAAATTTTTCTGAATTTTGAAAGGGTCATTTTAAAATAAGATGAAAAATTTTATAAAAAGAAGCGGATTTTATTCCTTTGAGGCACTAGGAGCAATTTTATTGTAAGGCACTTTATGTAAAAGTGTCTTTTTTATATTAAAAAGACAATAAAATAATTAAATAATAAGTTGTTTTATAATATATACTTTTTAAACGTTCACTAAATTTTAGATGCATAATATCTTTTTCTTGTGTAATTTTTGAGGTTCCTCGAGACGACGAGGTCCTAGGTACAGTACGTGCTTAGTGCGCTTATTAGATAATTCGCCACTGCAAATAGACTTATTTATGGGATATAATAGTAATACAAATAATAATAAATCATCTAAATATGAAATAATCTGTAAGAAATTGCTTAAAATATTACTTTGCTTTTATGCTAATTATTTAATTTGTATTTCATAAAGGAAATAGCTTACATTAAAGTGAATTTCAAACTTTTTTGTATACATTTTCGATGAAAGTTTTGATTCTCTTACACACTTTTTGCGCATATTTATTTTGATAAAACAAACTAAAATAAAAAAATAAATTGTAATAAATTAAAAATATCAGATATTATATTATATTATATGATAATCTTATTTTCAGTTCTAAGAACGACCACCCAGGGAGAAAGGAGGAGTGTACTTGATAGAAATGTAATCGGCATCTCTGATGGAAAAACAATACACTTTACACCGCTATTCAAATAACCATTTTCACAGATAAATTTAATTAATTAATCTTAAACTTAAACGAATTAATTTAGCCTTTAAAACTAGAATTGATTATTATAATTAATATTAAACTTAAAATTAAAAGTCCATAGACATAATTGGCTAATTTTTGTCAAATTATCTCTATCCATCTTTTTTTAATTTTAAAAAGGTTTTTCTAATTTTTTTTACTAATTTCTTGTAAGGTTAATTTAATTTGGAAATTTAAAGAAAAGTAGTCAAAGTTAAATATAATTTTTATGATAAAATAGCGATCAATATCTAAAAATTATATTGGTGCTAGTTAGTTCTGTTATTACTTTTTTTTACACTGTATAGTTTTGCGCTAATTGTATAATTAGGCAATATAATGTTACCTTGAAAATAAAATTTTATATTAATATTTAAATTATCGTAATTTGTTTTAAGAAAATGTTTTAAATCTAGTTTTTATTGATAATTAAGTTTTTTGTTCTGTATATATGAGTATTAATTTAACTCAGTTACTTTTAATAATATTTAAAATTTTAAAATTTATATTTAAATGTACCATGTACCAAAGCAGAACTTTTTAAATCTTAAGTTCAGGCTCATTTTAATATTTAATAAGAACAGAAAGAGGAATAAAACAGATAAGTACAGAACAGAGTCTGAGAGAGGCAAGATGAAACTATTTATAAATATAGGATCTCAATCTTCTGCAAAAGCTGTAAAATATATGAATAAAATTAATAAATTAATTAACATATTTTTTACCATTTATCAAAAGAAAATGTATATCACTTTCATATAATTTTTGTTTTTTACATAAAAATTTTAGATTTGGACTCCCCTCTATTCAGTGCACAGGCCAAATGGCTATGCACCCCTTTATCTGGCCCCATTAAAGAGGGATTTTAATAAAAAAAATATTAATTCTTCAAATGTCTACTTAGTCTACATAATTTATATTAGATATTAGTACTATGAAAATCTATTACCAAAATATTTTTAAAAATTATTTTAAAATTAGTAATATTGTATAATAGCAGCTATTTTATTTAAAATTTAATTACAGTGAAACCTCTGAAAACGGCTACTGACAGAAATATAAAAAATGGCCGTTGTTCGGAGGTAATTGTTGTTTGGGAGTTATTTTGTATGCATTTTTATTAAAAAAAATATCCCGAAAAAATGACCGCTGTTTAGAAATGGTAGCCTATATATATTTATAATTAAAAAAAGATTTAC